CATCTAATCACTCTATCTCGGCCAATACTGGTCCAAATTCACTCTTTCTTCGCCTGGCCCCACCGCTGAGTGATGTACTCAGAGGTGGGACCAGTACCGTACATGCATTCGTCGCCTTGTTATCTCTCGGACGCGCTACATGATAGGCGTCAATTATCCGAACAGCCATGACCACCTCTATCTCGGCCAATACTGGTCCAAATTCACTCATTCTTCGACGTACTCAGAGGTGGGACCAGTACCGTACATGCATTCGTGGCCTCGTCATCTCTCGGATGCGCTACATGACAGGCGTCAATTATCCGAACAGCCATGACCACCTCAATCTCGGCCAATACTGGTCCAAATTCACTCATTCTTTGCCTGGCCCCACCGCTGAGTGATGTACTCAGAGGTGGGGCCAGTACCGTACATGCATTCGTCGCCTTGTTATGTCTCGGACGCGCTACATGATAGGCGTCAATTATCCCAACAGCCATGACCACCTCTATCTCGGCCAATACTGGTCCAAATTCACTCATTCTTCGACGTACTCAGAGGTGGGACCAGTACCGTACATGCATTCGTGGCCTCGTCATCTCTCGGATGCGCTACATGACAGGCGTCAATTATCCGAACAGCCATGACCACCTCAATCTCGGCCAATACTGGTCTAAATTCACTCATTCTTTGCCTGGCCCCACCGCTGAGTGATGTACTCAGAGGTGGGGCCAGTACCGTACATGCATTCGTCGCCTTGTTATGTCTCGGACGCGCTACATGATAGGCGTCAATTATCCGAACAGCCATGACCACCTCTATCTCGGCCAATACTGGTTTAGGGGTTTCTCCACCGCTGAGTGATGTACTGACAAGAAATGCATATATGTTTATATCAATTATAATGAATGTGGTCAAGCAACTACATATCTAAGGCAACCCCGCCTGTCATGTTAACGCCTCCGATGAATGCAGCATGAATCGCACTTGAAACTTTGACGCCGTCGAAGCGAACGTTTTCGCGTTCACCATTGACTTTGAATTGTGCTGCCCAACGCTTCTTCTGTGGAAGGTACGACACCACAACGCCGATGGCAGTGTGGAGGCTCCACACTCTTGAGCTGTTATCTTGACCTTCACACACTTTGAAGTCCTTGCAGCACTTGTAGCCAACAATGCTCAACGGCAACTTCGATATACGCTTCAGTAGGTTTTCTTGCGAGCAAAATTCATCTCGAGTCTCAACTGACAGACCACCTTGTGGATGTCGCGGCCTTCCGTTCTGTTTTCGCTGCGGCAATGTCCGCAGCGAAAACAACACGGATGTTGAAACCATCAATGATTGCCAAGCACGCCACTGTGTGCGAGCAAGGCCAGCCACTTGAGTAGTATCCTGCACAATCGCAAGAATATTTCAGGCGCATAGCGCCGCACTATTGACACATTTATTATATCTCACTTGGCGCAATAGACTACCTCGTCGAAGCTGAATGGTGTCAGCGCGAGCATGTCGTCGCGAATATGGACGTCGGTGTTAACAGCAACCGCATGAAGACTAGGAGGACATCTTTGATGGCTGATGCATCCGTACAAGTATACTTCTTTCGCTGCGCCCGACTTGTAGTTTCGCTTGTACTTGTATCTACGATAAAGTTACAATTTCACATCATGTTATGGTTGACCAACCGGAACGTGGTGATCTCATCCATGTACAGCTTAGCGTCGGCAAAGT